ATTACCTGCGATATGTGATCGTCCGATGTAGTCAACAGAAGGAAATCGTTGAATAGAATCGCTACTAAAAGACGTCCACTACGTTGCTTGTATAGCACACCAGAGTGAAGAAATGATCGTGGACCCTGGAAAGTAGTGAATTTTAGAGAATAACGAGTATGTGAGGTAATTCTTTCTGATAAACTGAGTTAATGGGAATTCCATCTGTTTAGTCTATCACAATCGCACGGTCTTTGCAAGTTTCTACAAGGACCCGTGAGGAATCGTACCAAAAGGCGTGTATCAGAGGTGAAGTCGAGTCCCAATGATGGAGGACATTTCACATGGGATTGTGCCCAACGTAGAAGGAATACATTCTCTTCTTCGGTTACAGCATGATTCACTTCAGAGACACAAGCACGAAGAAGTTGAAGAGCGGTGTCTAAGTCCTGCAAGAATCTTAGACATCCTTATGAGCACTGATACCTTCCATATAAGAATCCCGAACCTGATATAAGTCACCCCGAGGATCGCTTTCTTTGAGGATTTTTTCGATAAGCAGTGGATACCTAAAAGAAATAAATAATCAAAAAAATCAAAATCTGGAAGTTGAAGTAGGCGTCGGTATCACATCTTTGACCGGGCTATGATTTACTCCTGGGCGATTGGGCCGTAGGAAATTTTCTGCTCCTTCCAACGAGCCTCAAGAGTCACCTGGTAGTCGTAATAGCCCGTTTCCGCTTTTTTCCCCTTTGCCCAATTCGAACGGTCTCCCAGACTGCGAGATGACTGCGGCTGTTTTGGACCTTTTGACATTCATTTTTCCAGAGCACAGAAGCTAACCTCGTGATACGACCAAGAGGCATCAGAAGAAACGTGGTCAGACTCATGCCTCGAGCGGCAATGCTCGCCGTACATTTGGCATAGAGTTTCTTGGCGTCTGGATGAGTCAGTAATTGATTTAATGCATCCAGTGCTGCTTGCTGATGACTACAGAATGCCACGAACACCGATAATGAGTCGATTTCCGAAATAAATACGTGACCTGGAATGAGAGAAATTCAAGGTTTTTCCTGAAAAGTCGAAAAATAGTAAACAGAATACGGAAAAGCGAGAAGGAAGTTGATTCCAAAACTAATTTGGCCAAAAGATGAAAAGAAAAGATACAAAGCTCAAGTGTCGAAGTACCCTTGTTCCAGAAATTTACTCGGAAAATTTTCCGGGGTGTTTGAAGACGTATCTGGCCGATGCAATGACTTCGGATGGTTCGAATTTTTCTGGACAGGTCTTATACCAATCAGCTATAGACGGCCAACTTTGTGAGGCAGCTTCGGATGAGCTGGTAGTCGTCGCCAAGCCTGGTGGTTCAAACTCATATTCCATTGATACGATGGCCACTTTTTTTCTGTGCCATACAGTTGCACAATGATCGAAGGGACTACGGTCAGGTGGCAAGCGGCGCCGCTACCACATACACAGATCAGGGATCAAAACGCGCAGGAGTACCTGCACAGATCAACAGGGTTTCTCAAGCCACCGGCACCGGCTTACCCTCGGGAACTAATATATAAGCCAAATACGCATCCAAACGCACTAGGACTCGGAATGGAGACATAAAACATCAGGAAATGTCGACAGAACATGACTATAGACGACAATGGAGAGAAAAAGTAAAACCTCGAAAATAAGAAAGAAAAGCTTTGAAAAAACCCTACAGCAATCCCAATCACTTCAAACAAGCGATAAATAATGGGCGATTTACCTTGTACTCATCGATCCTGAAAACGGTGCTCGATTTCTCTGCCAAAAAGTTCTCAAAGCTCTTCTTTTGATATACCAGTAATTGTCACAGTCGAAAAGATACCTAATTGACTTACCAGGAGAGGTGCGATTTTTCAGTCCCAGGTAGATTCTCCGTGAAACTTCGATCAGCTGATCCCAATGCAGAAATATAGTGTCCACTTCATGTCGATAAGGCAAAGTAATAAGCGTGTCATAGAATAGTTTTTTGGCTAATAATAAATCACCAAGATATCGCTCCTCAGTCGATAGAAGTTCCTAAAAATCAAATTCTTCATTGGGAATCTCTTCTTACTGCTTAATCAGCGAGACGGCTTGAGAGGGCTCAAAAGTCTGCCCCTTTCAGCCTACAACTTCCGCTAGGCTGTACAGTAATGTAAAAATAGTAACCTCCGTAAGTTTATCAAATTGGGCAGTATTTTCTTCCAACTCAGGCGGTACATCATACAGATGACTATTTGATGGTCCTGGAGGCATGTCGTAGCAGGATTCATCCTCTGACCATCCGAATTGCATATCTGGGCGAGGATACGCAGCCACCTGACCCGAACCAGGTGGAATTTCATAAAGCGATTGAGATGTTGTTGCAGTTGACGGCATGGAAGACCTGAGAGTGCCGTTGCCAAGGTTGTTCCTGTCAATGAGTTGAGAAAGATTAGTAGGATAGTACAACGAGCTGTCGTAGAGATAAATATGAGCTTTGCTGAATAATAATTAAATTTATTCACTGTTGCTAGGGCTTTTTCACGGGCAGCTAAGCCGCTTTTCTGACTTGAGCAGCTCGTCCAGAGCAGAGGAGATTTTGTCGATGCGATAAACGATTCACCGGGTGGTAAAACAGAAATTTTTCCACTTCAGCTGTTTTGTTTCAGTCTCCTGGTGAAACTGCTTCGCACTTACTTGGCGCCAAATGCTGTTTACTTATTTACCATTTGAGTTGTATGAAACATAATAAGGGAAGGGTGTTATCCATTCCTGCACCTAATCTACTCCAAACACTCCAATTTGTTTGTGGTGACAGTAATTCAACCTCCCTATTTGAGTTTTGAGTAATTGCCCAGGATTTCCCGCTCTCATCAGTGCCCTCGGATAACGCCATGAATTCCGATTGCACCCCAAAAGAAAAAAAATTTGCCTGCAAAAAAGGGGTCTCATCGCATAAATATAATGGGAAATAGACTGGCTCACTCTTAAACAAAAGCATGGCAATGATAAAGGTTAATAGGTTGAGAATCGGGAAGGTTGCCGTCTTCGATACTTGCAGGCATTAGGTTATTTTTGTCCCGTGATCAAAAGAGATTAACCTGTGGAACAGCGATGGCCTTCTGTAGCATTACATCGTGGGAACAATCTGCGGTTTTGCATCAAAGGATTAAACTAGAAGCTGGACAGCTACGACTGAGCGGTCATGATTCCTACTTCTCGAGTTTTCGAAACTACACCAAGATTCCGTTTTAAAAGTGATTGCACCTACAAAACCGCCTTCACGAAGCCTGAGCAACTTTTAGGAGCAATCTATCTTTTTGACGTTTAAGGATGTTATTTCAAAAACGAGTAGTGCAGCCGGCTTTAGATTTGCGAATGTGACGAAATGAAAGAGCCACCGTGTGCTAGATACCCTTCTATCACCTATTATCTTCGCTCGATCTGCATGCACTATTTATTTGAATGTACAGTTCACGATTAAAATGGTTTTTGGGATTCCCTTTTAGAATGAACTTATGACCTCAACCTCAGCAGTGCGTTACATGGGCAGCTGACAATCCAATGGTTAAATCGGTTTGGCCGACGTACAGACCCAAAACTATCCGTGTTATGACGACTTTGCTAAGGCTGCATCATTCACAATAAAGCGCCACGGGGTAGACACTCACATGGTTACAGACACCTAACCTCGTAAAAACCCCGTTCTTAATACTTTTTAGATGCTTTGCATTTCTTGAAATTCGCCATTTTCCGAGCTTTCTTTGCCATTTTCACATTTCTGCATCGTAACTTAGGCTAGACAAATCAGATCCATCGTGGAGTTTGCCTACCGGAATATTCTTCAGATTGACTCCAATGGTTAAGTGGTCAGCCGTAATTACTAACTTGAACTTCACGATCACTGCCCAATCACCAAAATACTGGGATGTCTGCAGCGACATGCTAAGGTGTAGGGTGTAGCGAGTGGCCTAGAGATAAGCTAAGCAAACACGAGCATGGCTTTGAAACATAAAGAGGGGCCAGACCGTGGGTGAGTTTCGCAATTTTCTGAGCAAGACGAACGGCACATTTGCCCCACTGAGGAGCTAAGCATAAGGCAGCCGCACAAACCTGTCGCTCGTCGAGCGCGGAAAATTCGCGCGGAAGCCTAACAGGGCACAACGGTAGTTGGTGAATGCGATGGGCACTGTTAGGGCCCGCGCTTGTGATGCATCATAGCTGACAGCCAAGGCCTAAACACACCTTATTGCACATCTGACACTCTGCTTCCCTGACCGGAACAGCGCCTTAACAGAGAGCTCGTTAGGTGAGGGACGCTCTGCCTCGCTAAGCTATCACCATCTGCCCAGTAAGGGAAGCATGCCTCTATTCCCACGGTTTCACCATTGCTACTATTGCCTAAACCAAACAGCCAACTGAAAGCAAACTAAAAATGTTTCAAAGCACTTGGGATCATAAGAGTCAGCAATTGATAGTAGCGATGCTTTAAGGCCCTTCGTAACTCCCACTCCACAATTTTTTAGGGCTTTTTGCCGAAGATATAGCTAAAAACTATGATTAGCACACTAAGAAAGCAAAGTTTCAGAAAAAAGACAGATACCCTCTATTGCATGCAGAAGTTCAAGCAGAGGCCTAAATTCCCATCAGATCCACGACATTCACGGTATTTTCGTTATAGGACTCAAGGGATACGGTTAAAGGGAAAACATGCAGGAACACCAACAAAGGACCAAGCGAATCACACCACAACACACTGTCTACTAAATTAATACAATCAGCGGATTTTCCAAAAAANAAAAAAGAAGTCAATATCGAAGAACTTTATTCGAAACTCATCTAAAACTGGCTCAAACACAAAAACAAACTAGTAAACTATATATTATACTTGAAACCTATGCAAAGTGACATGAGGACGTGTAATTACATAAATTATTTGGCGTGAATAAATTATTATTCTCTTAAACTCAACAATTATGCACCTAACTAATTATGCCATTACTATATACGCGGGTACTGATCGATATTAGCACAACGCTACCACTATTCTATGACTAGTAATACGTAAGTAACATCGGCATTATAACACAGTTCAAGTCACATGGCTTTCTCAGTAGAAGAACAAAACAAGCTGTTACACATCGTATCTACAATCGGTAATCGACAAAAGTGTGTGTGGTGTACGTACAGGGGTCGTATACGGGACTATTCGGCAGGAGGACCGTGGCTAAGATGAGCTGACTAGTCCGAACGATTATCCAGAACTCACGTCGGCATCAAGCTAATGGGTTTAGGTGCCTAGGCTGCGTTTATTGTCAGCGGAGGGCTGATGGCTGACCGCTGGCAAGAGTTCTATTGAGCAGCAAAAGTTAACATATGTCCGGGTAACCAGCCAGCAAACTGAGGATGGCAGATCATAGTCGGGATCAATCACAGTTATTTAATTGGAATTGAATATTAAGGTTACACCGTAATTGAGCGGAAACCAGCCAACAGACATCCGCAGACTATAAACGCTATTTAGGCGATCAGCAAATGCACTAGCAACCACACTTGATATACGAGCCGCTTGAAAATATTGGCTAAACAGGGTACCACACAGTTAAATTTATAGAGCAAAATAGGGTAAGTTGGAACAAACAGGCAAATCAGTTATGGCAATTTGTGCATTTACGGACCAGAAATTCGTGTTGTTAGAAAGTCTACTGACTTTTCAACTCTACTGATAAAAGACTTGTCGTGTTCAGGCACCTACATCCAGCTCTATCCCTTGCCGAAGAGTAAAGTATACGACCTGAGCTGCCCAGAACTCAAGCCAATTACTCGAACTCCAAAAAAGAAGGAGTGAGTCAAAGTGTCAAGCCCAGTGCGAATGATTGGCTTCAAATCCGAGCCCTTTATGGCAGCAATGGCAATAAATAAATAGTGGGTAAAACAGAAGGGTGAAAAGGAGCGGTAGTTTGTGAAGGGCAACAAAAAGCAGGCGAGTGCATCACTCACCTTTCCTAATAGCAATGCTTGCTACTACTTAGCGTACGGAAGATAGGCTTTGTAGGCTAACTCGGACTATTTTCATCATCAGCACATCACAAGAGAAAAACTTAGCCAGGAGAAAATTGAAGTATAGATGGCACAGAGGGCTACTAATAGCAATGCAGCAAAGAAGCGCAAACTGGCTAAGTGCCAATTCGCCACGTACAGTGTATGGCACCGTATAAAGTATAGAGTACCGGAAAGCAAGAAAAACACATGGTTATTGCATTGGAACGCTACCGGACGAACCCACGTGTGACGGCAATGTACGGGTAAACGCGAATAAGTGATGTGATAATATTGATACGAATACTCAGAATTCTACAGCCAACTTCACCCAATTGCACCAGCAAGTCAGAATGTAATGTGGCCACCAGTTGATGACATCTATGCGCTGTAAACCGGGCCGTATTTGGTGAAACCAACTATGTGTATTTAAAAATCCGAAAAGAAATTCAAATAGAAAAGTCGGAATTGAGTATAAACGATGATTTGCATAATCTACCTCAATTGCACATAATTTGCTGGGAATAGGCCACGAACGTTTGGCGTGTCAATTTTATGCCCCGCCCACCAATCAGCGTCTTTCTTTTCCACAATCTGCAAAACAATAGTACTTCTAGCATCGGATGGCTAGCGTCCACTTATAGATGACGCTTGCTTATCGTCAGCAGAAGGACTCACCACAATCACATCACCAGCACGAAACGACAACTCGTCCGATTGACCAGCTACGTAATCGAATAGCGCGGTGGCTGTGTTCTGATTGCCTGCATCGGAAATTTTCGAACTCTGAAAAGCAATTTTCACTACGAAAATATTGGAAAAGAACGTAGAGCAGTAGGCACGAAGTTCAAGGGGTACAAATAAGTTTGCGCATTGCTTATCCACACAAAAAGCTTGGTCCATCAAGTTTCAAAGAAATGAGAAGCTCGATTAGAAATAATTGACATTAGTTCCAGGGATAATATATCGCGAAACGTGAAAGTATGGCCTTCAGCTAGAAGGTGGTAAAATTTTCTGCGAATCGGCCAGGAGTTTTGCAAAATACGCCCAACTATGTACTGTTTTACTGCGCCATTTCAATAAAGGAAGCTTGAACCGTGCATGGTGGCTAAATTCGAAAAGTCACTTACCACAATAGGAGCGACATAATCACCAGGAAACCATCCAGCGCTGGCTCGACCGTCACGTTGCAATTCACCTTCCCACCAACCAGTGTTGCTCTTTTCACGGACAGAGACAATGTCACCAATTCGTAGGCTCAATTGATTTGCTGCTGTTGCTTCAAAATCGGCGACAGCGCGAGCTCGACAAAGTATTGGTATCGAGGCTCCTACCGGTGCTAAAAACGATGGATTATTTCAGAGCACAGATGCGAACTTTCGTCTCAGAAGAAAATCTTGAATCATGACTTTCCCGGAATTACTACAGGCAACGCGTAAGCACAGCAAAAGAGATAAGAAATCTTGTCTCCGGTCTCAAGACTACAACTTTTGCTGGTAAAATGACCCGTCAAGCCATGGAGACAAACCCAAGAAAGCATGAAAACGGCACAACAGATTGGAGCTGGAATAAAATAAAAACCTACTTTCACATTTTTGCACATAGTTGGCAGGAAAGATTCCTTCACGGCCATTACATCGCCCTCTCCACCAATCGTCGTTTCTGTAAAACATTTGAGTGGGAAGAGAATCACAGGTAATGATCTCAAACGCACAAAACACAAAATTAGAAATTTCTGCACTTATGCAAGCTAATCTAACTCCCGAATGGAATTACATGACATTGTGGGCGTTGTGTTGCGTCGCCCAGAGATATGCGTAAAGGCCTCCTACCTTACCCTTCTCCAAACTTCTCTACGTACTAGGTCTTATCTTAGAAAAGCCGACACATGCGACTAAATCACACCTAAGAATAACCACCAGGAGTTGAATAATGTCTTCTCCTCCACGTTTTGAATAAATGATTCCAGTTTGAATCCCTTTCCCGTACAGGATCAATAGGAATATGGTCGGATAATGCTTCAACTACTATTTCTATATGAAAAAAGCAAAAATGATAACACAAGGCAACGTACCGCTCAAGAACCATAATTCGATCCCCAACTTTTAGCGACAAATCGGTTGGTTCAACAGCATCGAAATCGAACATGGCCACATACCAAGTAGGGGCTGTTGCAGGTGACTCGGTTGGTGTTCCTTAAGAAGTTCAGTGAAACAGTTCTCAATCCGGTGCCCAGTTATAGAGTAGTCTTAGTCTAAAGCTTGCGCATTGTAAATCCATAAAGATAACATCCCATAATCAACATTTCCCGTTCTGTTATCGAACATGCATTCTCCGGCTTAGAGGCTCCTGTAGAAATTAAGTCTTACCTTTGGAACCTTGCGAGTTCAATGAATGTTTCGACTGTGACTGTGGGATATTGACCTGTTGAGATGANAAAATGAACCTGTCTAGAAGCGTTTCCACTTCCACCGCTTGTGGTCTTTCCAGTTGGTGTCACAGGGCCAGTCGTTGGTGAGCTGGCAACCGGTGTTGACTTATCGACCGACTGCGTAGCGGATGATGGTTGCGAGTTTGCAGCTCCCTGAGGCAATATTCATGGCTTTCAAAATGGTAGTTAGCAAAAGCAATACACAAATATTTGTCCGAATCAACTTACCTGACTAACTACTTTCACATAACTCTTCGGGAACCAACCCACAGACCCGTCAGCTTTACGACCTCGCCATTTCATTTCCTGCTGCTCGATAATCTATAATCACTTTTTATGATTCAAATCTACTGAATATTTTGCGAGAAAAGATGCTATTTCATACTCAACTCGGAGTTTTGTTCGCTCCGAACACGAATCCTGAATCTAATCTCCAACTCTGTGTCATAAGTGCAGCGTGCTTTGCCTTCGACTTTTTACCCCCAGAAAGAAATTGAACGAAATGCCCGAATGAAACCGTATGTTCACAGAATTTTTCCACAAACATGTGAAATTTAGGCCAAATGAATCCCACAAGTTCTTGTGGAAAGAATGCAGAGAATACTGACTTGCAAACAGGGAATTTGTTGACCAAACAGGTTCCACATCAAAAATGCATTTTTGAGCCATTAAAGCGTGCCTTCAAATCTCTACCCGAAAAAAAAAACGCAATGGAATTATATATTTATGAAAAACCTTCCATTAGATATCACTTTCCATTATGTGGCTAATAAACTTCAGGTTACCTCGATTTGATCGCCTTTTGCAAAGGACAGATCCCCTTCGTTGCGTGCTTTCCATGGGAATTGCGCTACACAGGAGCATATAACTGTGACAGGAGCCGCCTCCACTGGTTTCGCTTCTGAAACGCTCATTTTGAGTCAGTGGTCAGGTAAAACAGTTTTGATAACTTTTACTATGTCTATATCTTCTCTGTACTCGAATAGCAATGAGAAAAAGAAATCATAAAAGAGCAGACTAGTGACACAAATTGCAATTCAATTGCCACAGTAATGATCTAATTCAGTGGGCAAACTACCGAAACATCATTACTCGCCATGCCACTAGAACTCACCTGCTAGTGCCATAACCGACTTGACCACGGACTCTTCTGGTATTCGGTCTAATGACGGAGACGGAGTAACGTTTGGTGGCATATTTTGAATCGGCTGAAAAGGACAGACTCTATTTATTAATAAACAGAAAAGAAGCTGAAAAATTCATATGACGTCTTCAAACGATTACCTGCCCTACTGCAGACGAGACGTGAGCAATAGGTTCAGCAAACGCTTCAGGGAACCATCCGACCTGAACAGTAAAAATTTGATCACACTTAAATTTACAGCTGCTTCCTCGGCCGTGCCAAAGAAAAAGAGTAGCCCCCCCAGGACTATTCTAAACGACTGATTCCCCCTATATTCCCTCAGCTAGCTTTGGTGCAGCAGACCCGCTTTTCAATCCCGCTCCACTTACAGCGTGATGGCCTCAAAAGCTTTAAGCCGATTCAATGTGAAGAGAGCGAGCGAGAACATTTGGCTAAAGATAAGGCAAGACTCGCTTGAAGATAGACAGAATGGTAGAAGACAGTAGCGCCCATTAATGAAAGTCAGTGCTAGAACGACTCAAAAAAGGACAGCGGTTCCCAGAGAGAGCGCTACCCGAGGTATGGCCGCTCAGTGTTTGTATGAACACCCTGCATCAAAATAAGTGAAGATAAGTCGGACACATTCCCCTCACCTTCTCTCGAATCTGTCCAGCTTTCCAGCCTGGTTCGGCAGCGTGTGACTCAAAAACCAGAATAACGTCACCCGGCTGGAAGCTTAGCTCATCCTCGCTCCTGGCGTTGAATTCGAACAAGGCTCGATATTTCGTTGTGCCTCCGGCGCTAGCAAGTGGTAATGAGTTACCAGTAGATGAAACGCTATCTAAAACTAAAATAGCATCAAATAAATGCGCCGCAACAAAAAACTCTTGAAGACAAAGCCTTGAGAGTGTGCTCACCTTGTTTCACAACCGGTGCTGCATCTTTATTGGCTGCAGAACCATTCGTCGTAGCTGCTGTTGTATTGGTAGCCTGGCCTGGAAACACTTCCCCGAATGCCAACGCTTGAACAGTATTCGCGGCTTCTTCGGCTGCACGACGCCTACACTCCTGTTCCCGTTCGGCTTCCTCCTTCGCCTTAGCCTCGGCCGCAAGCCTTGCATTCTCCGCGTCGCGTTCGGATAACTTCGTGCGAGCCTGAACAACTTTTTTTTTGTGGAAAACCATGTTATAAATAAGAAAGGCCTCTATAATCCGCATGACGTCGAAAGAAAGGTTGCCCAGTACCTGAGTTTGCAAATCCGCCAGTGTATGCAATACTCTTCGGTAATCATCGCGGGCCTTGACCAACTCCGCTCGTGCCGTTTCGTAATCTTCGGTTTTCTGAACGACTTGGTCGCATTTGAACGTCAGGAGGCATCAAAAAATAGAGGGAAAGGGTAAAAAAATTAAAATGAGGAATTAAAGAAACGGTTGTTGAAGCCTTAGCGAATATTCCTTTCGCGCACCATTCATTAGATTCTGGAGCTGCAGCGCTACTCTTTACTTTTTTGTTTTCGCTAAACTGACTATTAATGCCTATGTCACTCAGCAAGCAGCACGTAGAAAATACCGAGATAAACCTGTATTCAGACAACTTCCAAAGATTAGAGGCTAGAAGGGCTCGATATTATTGAATTCCACCTTCACTGGAATGGCTTTGTTCTCTGATTCACTTAAGAATTTATTCATCGGCTTTAGCTCTGAAGGATTAAGTCCTCAATGATGCAGTGATCAAATCATTCGATCGTGTCGTCTCCAGTTGGGCAGCGGTATCCGCAACTATAACTTTTGCAGCATCTCTCCGTTTCCTGAGCTCTTCCAATTCGGCTTTCCTTGCTACCGTTTCTTTGTTTGCGCTTTGCAGTTGCAGGAGTTGATGTGCTAACTCTTGGGCTTGAACACTCAGCTGAAAAGGAAGCATTCGTGTAGAACTTACTACTGCCCTTCCCATATTCAATAACGTGATTGAGAGAGCATTTGAAGGGTTTGAGATTATTATCGCGCAGAAGGAAAGCAGAAGTAGCCCCGAAGAAGGACTACACTGGCAATGCTTCGGCCCAGGAGTGAACGAATCCAACCTTCCTCGAACGCAAAAATGGGTGTTTTTGATAAAATAAAATACTAACTTAGACACTATTAGCCACAAAATTACCTCACCTGCTGATTGTTCGCCTGCAATTCTGCAATGCGACGCATTTTCTCGTCACGCTGATCCCTCATACCTTCAATTTCGTGGGTAATCTCAGCAATACGTTCTCGAGCCTGAATATTAAATTTATTGCCTCCCACCACATAAATCCATAATCACAGGTGAAAAATGCGAAAAACATGGAAGCTAGCCTCTCAAACCTGCTGTGTACTTCAGGTTGCATTCCCACGCTCAAAAATCAACAACACTCACTACGCGGATCATACACGACTTCTACAGATTCCGTCTCCTCTCTCCCACTTCTCTTTTACTACTTCAACTTTCACATACTTTCGCCTAGGATTTACCACCCCTTATTGACTCCTTTTTTATTTTCTCGTGCATATTCGCTCAACTTTCCCTTGCCTTCTGAAGCCTTTTCATGATCCTCAAATCATTATTGAAAACTGGAGGCTGTTGAAGACAGACTTGGGCAGTATAAAAAAGCGAAAAGAATGCTTAATTTCGCTCACTACGCGGATCATACACGACTTCTACAGATTCCGTCTCCTCTCTCCCACTTCTCTTTTACTACTTCAACTTTCACATACTTTCGCCTAGGATTTACCACCCCTTATTGACTCCTTTTTTATTTTCTCGTGCATATTCACTTTCCCTTGCCTTCTGAAGCCTTTTCATGATCCTCAAATCATTATTGAAAAGTGGAGGCTGTTGAAGACAGACTTGGGCAGTATAAAAAAGCGAAAAGAATGCTTAATTTCGTTATTTTCTATAAGCCTCTGATTACAGTTCTGTTTATATTTTTCAGTAGTTCGAAAATTAAGTGGCATTTCGGTAGATAGATGGTCGTCCAGATAATTACATTAAAAGGACAACTCGGCAATTATGTGGGCGCTATTGTCATCGCAAAAACACATCGGCCAAACTGTCCCAAATGAATGACGCTTGATTGGATTGTGCGAGGATGAGCCCGTTAAACTATTCATGCGGCAAACGCGGCCTCGACTTGCTGCCATGATCCCAACCACGTGCAAAACTGGATTGAACTAACCACGTTTTTGAGGCTCGCATGGAAACAATCAAAACAAAGCTGGCTAAATTTGCCGCTCGTAGAAGGGCTTAGGGCGCGGTTTTAGCTTTGCGCTGAAAAGTAAACCAGCTCAGAAAGGTGCTTGGATAAGCAAAGCTCCAAGTTAACTTGTCGAATCTAGGAATCCTGCCGGTGCGACGAAACCGTATAATGGTGGTGTTATGCTTCGTGAAAAAAATCAATGAAAAAAGGAATATCGGTCACTAAAAGTACTGAGATAATTGGTAGAGATGAATTCTGCCCAGAAACTATTCTGAATTTAAAACACATATTACACTCAAGCCCAAAACACTTTTATGAGTTCGTCAGATTGTACGCACCGGATCAGGTATTCAATTAGAACGTACCTTTGTTACGTTCGCTTCCGTGTCCACCGCCTTCTCACTGAGCGCCTGGAGTTGGAACGTCAACGTTTTCTGGCGTTGCTGACGCTGCGCTGTCAACTCTGCTTCACGCTGTTTCTGGGTCTAAAGAAAAAACTCTCAGAAGATTTGAATAACTATGAAAATATAAATAAAATAGAAATAACTATAAAAATAAAGTACGAACGAAGAAAATGAAAATGAGCAAAAAGAGTCATTACTCAAGCGAAATCACTACCCACTTCAGCCAAGATTTTGGGAGAAATGCACAACTTAAATATATCAAAGCAATGTAAAGAAGAAGTATAACGCAAACTCATACTCACCTGCATCTCCTTCAACCGCATTTTCTCAGCCTCAATCTGCCGTTGGCGTTCAGCTTCTTTACGAGCCGCTTCACGCTCAGCTTGACGCTTCATCTCTTGTTCTAATCGAGCTTCTTCTAGTTGTCGCATACGCTCTTCAAGGTATCGAGTTAGATATCAAGAGAATATGACGTAAATCAAGCAGTACTTTCTACGATGTAAATGTAATTAGTAAAGAGTTCGCCCTTTGAAACGATCAATAAAACATCGCAAATCCATGTATGGCATTTCCCTTAGCTGTCAGATTATCCACGCACGAGTCTGTTTTCTTAAGTGAAGGCAGAATTGCTAGTCTATTCATCATTCCTATGAGGTTCGTTTGAAAAGCATGATGATGTGAGAACTAAGAGCAATAAATCATTGAAGAGAACGATCGTCATGACAGCGATGATGGACACTTCAAAGTTGTT